GCAATAGTATACCATACTGATACCAGAAGCTTAAATACTACTACATGTTACTGCACAATATGCACTGAGGGAAAATGTCTGCAAAGTCACGTTTGAATAAAAAGGAAGGTATATCTTCTATGCTGAATATCCCTGCCAAAAAGTGATTGTTTTAATGTTAAGTATTTACGCACTTGTGTATACGGAGGAAAAGGTGCACCAAAGTGGCTACACGTAAGTTCATTAAAGTGACTACACCAAAATACATCAGAATGGCAGCACCAAAGTACATCCAAGTTCATTAAAATGACTACACCAAAGTGACGACACCGAAGTTCATTAAAGTGATTACACCAAAGCGCACCAAAATGGCTACACCAAAATGACTACTCGAAAGTGCACTAAAATGGGTAAACCAAAATGGCTACATCAAAGTGCCAACATGACAGTTGCTACACCAAATCTCACTAACGTGGCTCCATTAAAGTGCACTCTTAAGCGGCTACACCGAAGTGGCTACTCGAAAGTGCCATCATGACAGTTGTAACACCAAATCTCACTAACGTGGCTCCATTAAAGTGCACTCTTAAGCGGCTACACGAGAGTGGCTAGACTTCACACTCGCATCTCGGTGGCGAAAGTGACGACGCTGTTGTAGTACTCGTTTCCCTGAGGTACGATCTCCTCAGGGGGCAGCACGAAGCCTCTGACGTCATAGGGGTCAGGGCGCAGCTCGTAGCCGAAGGCGTAGGCTGTTGGTCTCACGTGTAGCACCCAGTCAATGGAGGAACCACTTGCGGCATCTGGTGGGGTTTGAAAACATTTTAATATAACAGAAACTGTCCAAGACGGTCACCTATTGTTGTGGAGGACTAGGAAGATAATTGCCTCGTCTTAGACAGGTCAGTACCTTAGAAATACCATCACCAAGTTCTACCTGATATTTTGGGCCGTTTTGAGGTACTAAAGCCATGAGGTCAGAAACCAAATGTTTTATCTGCTCTGTCAAAATCAGGAGTGAGTCGTTACATCAAGATATTCAAAGAACTGCATTTGGAAAAGTTTGACATGTTAAAAGTGTTTTCGTCAAATTTCTCGAAACTAAGTACTGGACACATAGAACTTTGTAATTCTGAGGTCGCGCAGTGTTGTTATTATAATTATGAAGCATGCCGACAAAATGAGTTACTCTTCGGTTTTGAGCCCTCTGGAAATAGATACATCGTGTTTAGTAGGTGAAGTTTTTACAATTCAAGAGCATGAGGTACTAAAAGGCATGTTATACTTTTAAAATATGGAATCAAAAGAACATTTACAAATTTGACCCAAGTGTCAATTAAATTTTTGGACGATATCACCATTTGTGGATTGCGAGAAGTAACTCATTTTGTCTGCACACCTCCCAAATAGTTTTACAAAATGTAAGAGGGGGTTTGTGCTGGTAATTGTCTGAGCAGGTGGTCGTTAGAGCAGATATATATGAGTGTATGTTATGGACTGTATTGGGGGTCCTTTTTGGTTATTTGGTTTTAAACGACGCTGGAGCGAATCTGTGGTAGACACCCTCGGAGCTCACGGGATGTCCCTCCGACAGGCCACTCGCCTTGTTGCAGACAGACGGGTGTGTCTCCCCGCGTTACCCCATAGTACAAGCGAAGAAAAAAGTAAAAATAAAGTAAGTTTAGTTTATGGTGGGTGGGAGGGTGGGTGTATTCGTATGTGTTGTGAGGGGCGGTGGGGGCGGTGGGCGCGGTTGGTGAGGGTGGGGGTTGTAAGTGTGTTGTTAGTTCAGTTAGTTTCATGCAAGGATGTGGTATGAATGAATTTGGTTCGAATTCCCAAAGAAGTATTTTTGAACTTTTGAGTTGTTTCGGAGTTTTCAAAGAAATGTACTCGGGGGCTCCTATGGCCTTGAGGCATGCTATTCGCTTCTCATTCAAAAGGTCCCAGGTTCATAACCAGGCAACAACGAAAAATGTTCTTCTCTAAAAATTGTCTCCTTTCACCTCCTTTCTCGCTCTCTAACCATGCTTCGTCGTCTACTTTCGTTTCCACTTTCTTGCCCCACCCTGTCCCCTCCCTTGCCCCCTCCTCTGGGCTCCGGACTCTTTTTGCAGCCTCTCTAATGCTTCTGCTTTGCTCCTTCTTACTGCTGACTTTCTGCCACACCCCTGAACTAGCCTTCTCGGGATCTCGTGTGCAAGTTGAGCACTTTAAAGATCTCTTGATGGCCCATAATTGATAAGAGTAAGCTTCGACCGCCACCCGGGCAAAATTCAAAATGTGCTACCAACTGGAAATGTTTAAATTGTCCAGCACGCTCATATGACCTTATGCAGTTGCGAGCGCCATAAAACACTTACCAAAAAATTATTCTAAAAAACAGTGCGCAGTCTTGAACATTATAATTCAAGTCTATGATGATGAAATGTGTGCTACTCACAGTTCAGTAACTGGTAAGGCGTTCCATATCGGTACCTCTTGGAGTAGGTGTCGTTTAAGGACGCTACCATCAACAAACCAACTCGATCCTGTTGGAGGGAAATGACGAAAAAAAAAACCCAACTAAACAAAACTAAACACAAAACCAATATAAAACAGACCAAAAAAAAACCGAGAACCATTAGAAAATACCATTGTTATCAGTGTGGTATTTACAGACAGAGAGACAGACAGACAGACAGACAGACAGACAGACAGATAGACAGACAGACAGACAGACAGACAGACAGACAGACAGACAGACAGACAGACAGACAGACAGACAGACAA